GACAAGGTGACCTGGGTGCATAGCTGCGTGGACGTGGGGGCAGGCTTTGGGGTCTGAGACAGGCTCTTCATGGTGGGAGATACAGGCCGTGGGGCCCAGGAGAGGTGGCCAGGGCGGCCTGGAGGAGAGGGCACTGGGACAGAGTGGGGGCGTCTGGCTCCAGGAACGATGTGAAGCCACAGGGGAAGGTGTGTCTAGAAGCTTCCACATGGAGGAGAATGGGGCCGGGTCGGGCTTCCAGGCGTGGGTGCCCTGAGGCCTGGGGAGGTGGAGGGAGAGGCGCTGCGAGGACCCAGAGGCCACCTCGGGGCTGGATGTGGGGCGCCCGGTGAGGCCAGGCCGTCCCTTCAGTGTCAGCGTGCCCGTATGTCCCCATCTGGGGCGTCACTGGTTCCCTGGTGGCCCTGCCTCTAAATCTGAGGACAGGAAGGGTGAGGAAGGAATGGCTCCACGGCTGCCTCCTGCTCCCGAGTCTGCCCGCGTGCCGGCTGAAATCCGAGCCGGGATCACCGATGGGGACGGACCGCGCTGCCCTGTCCTCAGGCCCTTCGTCCTCTGAGGCCCCTCGGTGCAGGGACCTCCCGTCTCACAGTGGAGCCTCTGGAGGTGTCAGTTAGTGGCCCACCCAAGGTCACACGGGTCGTTGGCAGAGAGCAGGAATCGGCCCCTGTGGCTGCACCCAGGGGCCCTGCCCGCTTGGCGGTCCAACGGGGAGGATTTCAGACCCTCCCGGGTCCAGGTGGCCGGGGGAACCTCAGCTCTGCAGACCTGGGTCCTGTTGAGGGTGCCCTGTGTGACTTGAGTGAAGGACTTCTGTTCACTCCATCTGTTAAAAGAAACCCTGTCCCGTGCCCGGGTGATGGGCGGGCCAGGGAGCGTGGGTCTGCACGCAGTGTCCTGCACCTGCATCAGGAGTGACATCCCGGCCCCCCGAGCACCTGCGACCCTGGGTGTCGGTGCGCTGAGCTGGGCGAAGCTGGAGGGGTCCCCGGGAGGAGCTGACTACAGCCATGATGGCAGCAGCTGAATACGGCCGGGCCCGGGTGGGAGGGTTTGCCTGGTGGACTCGCTCGGTCAAGTACGTTCAGGAGATTCTGAGTTTAAAACACGCTTCAGTGGGAATAAAACTGTCTCAGCTCGCTGAACCTACTCAAAAGAAAGCACTTGGGAAAGTTAAAACCAGAAATCTTTTTTTCCTTCGATTGAAACCTCCTTTGAGACCTGGAGGAGGTCGGAAGCATGCGAGTATATTGGGGGAAAGAAGTCCAAGGCTCCGGTTACTGTCTGATGGCCTCTCTCTCCCGTGATGGGTGTCAGTCCTCATGACGGGCGTGAAGCAGAGAGCCCGGGGTTTGAGGTAGTCCCTCATCTT